TAATATCAAAACGCTACATTTTCGCCCAAACGCAATTCCCAGAAAGAATCGTGTAAAATATTTGGATGTTTAAAACCTGTTTGGTAGGGCTCTTCTTCGTCATAAACTTTAATCTGTATCTCAGTCTCACGAACCAATAAACTTTGCATGAACGTTTGCATTTCGAGTTCGAGTTTGTCTTCTTGATCGAGTTGGATCTCAACCTTGGCGATTCCGTTTAGAGGGCAGATTTTTACACTCGAATTTGCTTCAAGAATATGACATGAGGCCTGAACGTAGACGAGCATTTCTCATAGAACGATCATGAGCGTTTAGAAGCGCCTCTCAGCGGGATATTTGTAGTCTCATTTTGTGTGAATTACAAACAGTTGCGTCTAGAATTCTGGCTTTCTATTGCATATCAGATTGCATCTTCGCTGCGTGGAAGCAAACAGAGTGGAAACGACTTGCATTAGAGGTTGTTTTCTAGCTCCGGTAAACTCTGGAGTTGCAACAATGCTTCTCGCCGTGTAATTTTATTATCGAAACTGTGCAAGGCTAACTGATATGAAATGTATAGTCAGACAAAATATATCAAAGAAGCAGAAAGGCGGAATAAGGTTATAAATATTGATAACAAGGACGTATTGAATGAACGTTTTGAGATTCGTTGATGATTTGAAAAACATTGATTCACAGAAACTCTCTCGTTCGAGTCAATCTATTCTGTTGATAAGCTACGAATTTTTAAGGTGTATAAATTAAATATTTTATTCTCATTTATCATGCAAAGACTTTGCATTTCTGTTGAATGAAATATTGGTTTTCGAGTAACCATACTTAGAAATGAATTGAAAACAATTTAACGAAGATATAATGCAACGCTAAATTGCAAGAATTTTTATTGGGAATAGATGTTGACAAATAAAATGATTGTTCGAAATATTTTCGTAAGTCGATTTATTGTTATTATTACGTTGTTAAATAAACATTCACTTATCCAGCTCAGATTTTTTCCTCAAATGATCGGCTAACAAATTGAAATCCTCCCCAATATATTTCTCAATTTTTGTTCATTTGTCTCACAACTTTACTTTATTGATTTTCACTTAGAAACTTTCAAAATCACAATGACTTACAATACATACCTTCTAGAAATTGCATTCAAACATTGTTATTAAAACTCATTTAATTTTGCCAACGATTGGACTTCTTATAGTAAATAAAAGATTTCAAACAGTTTTTCCTCAAAGTTCGGTTCCAAAACGCGAAAAGCGAGCTCTTTTTTATTTTATAGTAACTCTCGGAAGCTATTGGACTGCTCGCCTTATTTTTATTCCCAGTAGTGGATTTCCAGGAAAAGAAACTTGTCACCTTCCTACATCACGAGAAAATCCATAAATCCCCTGCAGGCGTCCAATGAGACTGAAAGTGCTTCTCATAAATAGGTAACAGAAGCGCCCTCGCGGGCCAAAGCGAATAAGAGGCTAGGAGGAGAATGACTGTGACTGCCCGGCCTAAATTGACTGCTGTATCAAGCGAGGCCGCTTTACGATCGCTGTGATGAAACACAGCGCAGGTACAGAGCTGGCAGTCTCAGGTCTCGGTTATTGCCTGGGTGTGTACGCGACAACGGAAATTGCCAACGGCTTAATAGACATGGTGCTGGTATACGCAAGGCGTGCGTATGAAATGAATTGATTTCGGAAATATATTTGGATTAGAAATAATAATTGTATGATATCATGTAAATCTTGTTCAATGAAGGAATTCAAATCTTGAGAAAATTGATTAATGCGCTTCAGAATTCGGGCGCCAAGCTCGAAAGCAGTTTATAGGTTGGTAAATTTTTTCAATCGGAATTCATAATTTTGCCCAAAGAAAGTTGTAAAATTCAGGCAATAGTTCACAAATATTTGCATTTACCATTCATTGACCAATACACGAAATCATCATTAATTTTAACAGACTTAAATATCTCATTCAACAATCAAGTATCATACCACAAATTTGAATCAAATAAAAGTTTATCTCTCTGTTATGCGTGCCTAATTTCGAGTTTTAAGTCAAAAGTCAAGCCTCTCCAAATTTGAGTAAAAACTCTTTAGTTGCTAATAATAAGTTTTCATTTCACCCGGTCAGAGAAATTAATTGAATAAAATTGATGAATCTTTTACCAGCATTATCAGAACTCATCGTTCAGTTCCAAAAAAGCTTCATCGATGACGGTAGGTTTGTGCACAAAAAGCTTATTGAAACAAACTTTTGCACAACTAAATCAAGTTTCTATAACAAACATATACATTTCATAAATACAACTTTTTGCTTTACGTCGATCGACCGTTTAGATGAATTCGGTATTATGAATATAAAATTCATGCAGCCTGTAGTCAACCATTTGCTTAATGCTGAGATGAACGTTTGTTCTAAAAAATAAAATAAAAAAGTAAATATGTATTAAAATAATTGAAATGTACAAACATGGGCAAGTCAAAAACACAAATTATTAATTAGAGTTGCTGTATTGCGCTAATATTAGACGTTTTCAAAACGCCGAGTTATCTTTTTATATTTCATCTCCGAATTTCTCCAAACGAGAACCGTCGTTAGATACAAATTCTCGTAAGCGTCTTCTGGCATAGCTGCGTGATAAGGGGGGCAAAGTTTCTTCAAGAATCCTATCCAGTAGGTGTCGCATTATTTCTTAGACTACCAATTCACGATATTTTTTTTAAGTTTAATTTTGATTTTCATTTTTAGCCTGTTTTAATGTAACTGCGTAAATGGTGCTGTTCAAATAATCCGTACCATTAAAGTTCCCAAATATTGACTTGCGTCATCACCCAGGGAACCGGCTGCTCCATCAGATCAAAGCTGAGTTAAACCAAATATTAACGTTGCACAGCTCACCCGCTGCAATGTGGTTAAACATTCGGTAAATATGAGGCAAACACGAGGCAAACGAGGGCTTGGCTCGATGTAACACGAGGCAAACTCAATGAAATCTATTTGCTCGTACGAGAAAACCATTAGGGTAAAATGTGGATCAAAATTTGACTAGTTTAGGGTATGGAGTAAGCAAATCTGAAGCTATTATAAAAAAATTATATTAACTCGGAGGAGATGATGTAATTCGTTAACATGAAATACAAATTAAACTTATTTCAAACAAACATGATGCCCACTTTTGGTGAATTTGAGTCATACAAACATTAAGTAAATATGAAAAGGATTTATATAGCTCAAGAAAGACTTTTAGTGAGCAAAAAATCTGCAATGACTTCTTAACCTGTATTTCTTACCATTGCAGTTATTTGAACTATTTAGGTCTCGATTGAAGGAAATATTGTATTCTGACTGGATATATATTATGCATGCGCAACAGTATTGGCTTGTTCAAACGGATCGTGAGCGCAATTTCATTTCGACACGCTATTAAGAAACCCTTTATCGTATATATTCTGTTTGAATGACGCTAATGACGCTACGTTGTTCACAAGCTAATTGTGCTGTACGCGTCTTTTAACTCTTCTAGGTGCATTCAAGTCTATTCCTCTGTTAGGTATACGGTAATTTCGGGACCTCAAGTGGGCTTTTAAGTCTCATGCAAACGTTAAGGGTTAAAGAATGCGTAATTGAGCCTCCAGCGCTACCATTATCCTCGAGTGGGCAGCGCACTTCTTGTAAACGATGCAGCCAACTATGGCAGGGCAACAGTTTGCTCAAAGCTACAGATTTCCAAAATTTCAAATTTTCATTTCTCAGAATTTGCCAAAATGTCCGGTTGTGATTTTCTCGACGAAGGTAATTTTGAATTACTGGTGATTACGATATAATTATGAAATGGAGTCACATATAAATAATTTAATAAGTATACATTTTAGAATTGTTTGAAGTACCAAATCTATTGGAAATCACCTGTGGGGTGCACATTTATTGATAGTGTCTTTTTGAGATACGATGCGTCAATAGGAATTGTATACAAAACAGTTCGTGTTTAGAAGTGAATATTAACGCTGAAAAATTATTAAAATTTCATCGATTTGAGATCGACCAAATTGCATTATTTGTAAAATACCGCCCAGTAAAAGTTTCTATTCAGTACAGGAAATGACCGAGAACTTTTCACTCTTAGCGCATTCTTTTTTTCAACGAAAAATTTTTTTACTTTCCTCGATGTCGCTGGATAATATTACTGAATAAGATCGTATGGTTTTATAGTGGCTATACCGGTACCGCTATAAGCTAAGGGAATGCAAACAGGGAATCCTACGAGTAATATTAACCATCGGACGTTATGAACCGAGTATTTGTGAGTAAGGTAAATTTCATACCTGTTGAATAAACCAACTCTTATAAGGCTAATTGCATAACATGTTTGACACAATTGATTGAAGAATATTATATAAGAAAATATTACAAATTATATGAACATATCAAAAGCTATTTAAGGACTTCCTACAAACGTTGGCGGGCAAGGTTGAAGTGAAATGACTGGTAACTATACTAACGGCAATCTAAACTAAAGAAAAAGTCAATCTTTAAGAAGTTTGGATGGTTGGCTGACTGTTAACTATTTGAGGAAAAATGAAAAAGAAAATTAATAACGAATATCGGTGGTCCCTACAGCTTGCCATTCATAATTACAAAAATGTAACAACAATCAGAGGGGAATCAGACTGCATAATTCTCATCAGACTGCATAATAATTATGCCAAATTACTGCATAATTTTGTAACGGTACCAGTGTACCCAGTCTAGGCACATTTGTACCTAAAAACTTCGATCAACGGTAAAAATGCTTTCATCGTCTTCTTTTTACCGGCATACATAAAAATGCTGGTATGAATGGCATACAACAACAGCAGCTCATCGGCCCGAGCTCACCCAGGCGACCGAGGTTCCTGCGCGCGCGCGCCAATGACCTAGAATAGCTACATTTGTACCTAAATAGTCTGATATAGGTTACGAAAATAACTTTGATTTCTTCTCTTTCCCCGCAAACAGTAATGCTAGTGGGCATGGCATGCATCAACACCCCCACATCGGCCCGAGCTCATCCAGGCGACCGAGGTTCCCGGGCGCACGGCGATGACCGCAAGTTGCTGGTGTCACCCAACGCCCTAGACGCGCTCGGTCTCAACAACAGCGTGACCGCCGTCAAGCCTGGAGACTCTGCCAAGCTCGCCTGCCCTGTACCCGCCGAGCTCTTCGGCACGGTCAGTGCTATTAATGTTATAATTATGGGTCGCTCCTTCCTTGGTGAATGTACCAAGTGCCAGTGATAGGAATTATCCTCATATTCCTTGTTTAACGATGAGATTTTTCACAGTAGATAAGGAATCAAAATTGTACACGTATTATCTATCAATCAAATGAATAAAGCTATCAGATTATAATATGGAAAACTCCATGGATTTTTGGAAGGTAAGAGATGAATGATCGATTTTTTTTGCGAGCAGAATCAACATATTTAGGACAGCTGCTGCAGATTTGATACAGTTATTGTCTTAAAAGTAAGCATTTAATTAAAAATTAGAGAGAATTAAAAATGTAGAGTTTAGAATAAATCGCTCATTCATTGTCAAGTATCAAATGCTGTTATGTATAACAGCTATAGGGAGAACGAATTGAATTTTATGACTTGTGTCTAGAAGGAAAATTTTGTGATCACTGTAATTATACTGCATTCTTGCTCGCTATAAATCATAAAAATCGAAGAGAAAAAAACATATTAAATAGCTATACTTAAAGAATTTGTTGAAAAACTTAGGTATTTATTATTTGCAAATCTTCGACATTTTTTAATCTCAGACTTATTAAAAAAAAGTTCCAATGCCATATAAATTTCATCCATGGCTATTTGTTTTAATAAATAAATTGAAAGCAAATCATTAATTAGAACAGTTATTTCTATCACGACTTTTATTTATATTACTACTTTTGTATGCGAAAGAAAAGAACTATAACATGAAAAAAGTTATTTCTCGCAACTGATTCAACCACTGGACAAACAGAATGAATTAGCTCTCGTAGTCCTGGAGAACGTTCAAGTGTTCTTATAAATAAAGAGTCCGTGAATAGAAATCAATCCCTATTTGCCAGCTAATACAGTCGGCATGTTCATTAGTTTTGGCAAACACATATATAAGTATAGTTCTATATTTGCAGTATATTATTTCTGTTATCGAATTCGCATTTGTTATCACATATATTATTGACACATTTATTTAAAGAACATTTGCTCGTTTAAATGATCCAAAATAGCTTCTTCAAAGTGCAGAATTTGCTTCGTATAATCCAGTACGTTTTCCTTCATAAATTATACTTCTATATACTAATGAATTATCTAAATATATATACCTATAAATTTGGTATTTGTCGAGCTAAGTAAACTTGATTTAAACTAACTTAACGATATTTATCAAAACTGGCGTTATACAGGTGGAGCAGACGAATAAAATTTATGCTCCAGACCATTTTAGAATTATCAATTTATAATATGAATATTAAATGAAACCTAAAAATTACTTCTTATACAAGACCATTTGGATCACAATTTTCTGTTTGCTAACATTTATTCACGAAATGCATGATTAGCGCGATTTTTATATTTTTAGCGCATTTACTCATCTATTTAGAAAAGGCGCTATTGTGCTCGTCATGTCCGTCCGTCTGTCCGTCCGTCTATCCGTCCGTCTGTCTGTGACTTCACTTTGTCGAGTATCCATGATACTCGGTAACAAGAAAATGAGCTCTCTGTCACTCACTGCAGTTAGTTCTGAGTTATATTTTTAGAAATTGGCTTGCATCGCTGCATTGTTATCTTATGCAGTTGAAGTAAAACTCGCACAAAGAACACTTCTACTCACATCATACGCGGGTTCATTTATATTTATTTTTATTTCAATGTGAAGTTTAATAACAGTTTCGTATCAGATACAATGCACTAAACCTGTTGTGTGAGCACTATGAATGCGAATTTTAGTGTTTACTGATACAGTACTATGTCAATGTTTATTTCATTATTGAACTGAAATCAATTTTATATGAATTCTATCATGCCATTTTTCATGACACTCCAATGCTTGTAAGTAAAATGTAGAATCTAACATCAACTTTGATGATTGCTGTATATTGATATTTTTCACGGTTGCTCCATGATTATAACGTCTGGCGAGATCATTTATCCGAACTGATTTAATAATTATATTGCCAAATTGAAATCCCTGTGCCGCATGTCAACAGGTATAGAATTCTACTACCTCTGCGCCTATTTTTGTTAGCATAAAAATGCATGCGGGACAAAATCAAATAATAATCTTGGAATATTTTCGCTCGGTGCCTGAGTCAGACATGTGATTGGCGTCCGCTGACTCTCAATAAGTCAATACGTCTCACGAAAATTTCGAGTTGCAGCTCGAAACTCATTCAAATATGCCGAGGAAAATCCGACGCAGTTAGGTGGGCATTGACGCCGAGTTGTCGATGTCGAAAACTTCTGAAGAGCCTCGCGGATGACATTCTTTCCCTATTGAAAATTAAGGCTGCTTCAGCGATGGCCGTATATTGATCTGCTATAGAACTCCTACGAAACAGACGTGGCGCGAGATGGCTCGCCTGCTCCTGATAGAACCGCAATTGAAAGTACGAGTGTGACATGATGATTTATTTAATTCTAATGTAATAGTACATGCCATGAAGGTGGAAGGAATCACAACTTTCTGTGCTTCTGGAATTTTGGATTGATTTAATATTCAACTTTTGCGCATGTGTGATCAATGAGTCATAATTCTTGGGTGTCATGATGTTCTAAATGGAGATTAAATAAAATCGCAACGAACATTCTATCATGTTCAACAACAACTATTTTGATTTAACTTTTGCATGCAAATATAGCTCCGATTTTTGCACTGGATCGTGAATAAAAGTCACGAATAGCATCGACTGAAATGAGTCGACATCGAGGCGAGATACGAAGACTTTTTCTGCCGGAAAAATCACAATATCTCATCTTACCCTGCAGCTTGCATTTCATCCACGTGACATTTGGGGCGTCCTACGACGGGTAGAATAGAAAATTTCGTTCACCTGGCGAGTACAATTCTTTTGTCCTCTTTATGTTGGCACACCAAACGAAATTTAGATCACCAGATTTTGAAACGACCGCCTTTCTTGTCTACTTTATAGTTCCCAAGAAATTTCAGGTGAGTTGAGGAGGCCGACCTCATATATAGCAAGAATCCTAGGAAATCATCACGCGAGATTCCGAATTTCCATAAAATCTTGCGAATCTTCATAAGAGCTTGCAGATCTTTATAAAATGCACCACTGTGCATTTTCCGAGATTTTGCTGGTTTGGGGCTGTCAGTTTAGTGGGGATGTCTCGGCAGGGACGACAACATCTCTTTCGTATCTCCGTAAGACCGTCCGAAGGCGAGCTCGCGCGTCAGCCTTCGATGTCGTTCAAGGGTATTTACTTCCGCAAATCGCGGCCTGGACCTAAAAAAATCCTGCGGAGACGAACCGGAGACAGAGGTGCTTTTCGCGGATTTACCATTCGAGCAGTGGACGTGATGCCGTCACACACATTTCCTATTTATATTATAAATGTTGAGCAGCTTCTTCGGTTGTGTATTCTTATAATCAAGCATCATATAAAACTTTCACCACGCTTCATGAATGTTATCTCAATAACTTAAAATTCAATAAAAAGGCTGCTATGGTCCATTGCAGTCTCTGTAAACACGATTTTTTGCGGTAAATTTATACCATTTTTATACCTGTCATTATCATTATTCATCCTTAATTATTTCCGAACGCACAAAAAATCACTCTTATACAACTAAATATTTAATCAAACTTCTTCGTTATTGGTCACCTTAAGCCGAAAAATTACTCAAAAAGGAATTCTCGACGTCGAGATTTAGGGGAAAAAATTTCGCTTATCTTCATACTGACTACATTTTTTATTCACTTTTGGTGATAATTTTCAGTTAGAGGTTAAATTAAAAAACAATATTCATATTGCTTAATTTTCATCATTCAAATCAAGGTTTCCAAAGTTCAAAATACGTAACTTTGAATCCAGAGAAATATGAGCTAAAGCAATAGAAAACGTCGGCATGTCGTATGCTGAAAACGCTTGTTCAAACTTATCACACTTTATTTGTTGTCTTCAGTTCGTGATTATCAACGCTTCAGGTTTGAAGTCCAAACACTGCGCTACGTTGGAGATTTGTGAGCTTGAACAAAACTTTTTAATTTTGACTCGTCAATAATTTGAACCGTGATGTTACGGGAGGCCATTAATTACTGAGCGTACCAGACTATCCTATCCGCAATGATCAGCAGACTCATCATTTCTTGCGATTGAATGCCAACAAAGGATTAAAGACGACCGCACATTTTCATTCAACAACGCAAGAAAAAACGACGTGTGTGGGAGAAGTCGTGTCTAAATTTCAGTTGTCACTCTGCCTGTGAGATAAAAACTACAATGGCTGACAGATTCTACGAATATTTCGTTCCTAAAAACTCACAATAAAACTTGATCAGATTTTTTGTCACCTAAAATCCCTAAACTAATACAGATTTAACTTTAGTCCATTAAAATTACAGGTCAGGTCATAAAAGACAAAGATGTAACTTTTACTTCAATTATCAGGTGTTCAAGGAACTGTTACACACTTGTTCACTGTGGTGGCGCACATAGAAAGACAATACTTTGGGCAAATTTTCCGCACTTAGGGCACGATCTGGTAACATCATACGGAAATCTAAATTATTGTTTTTATAATACATCATTACAAGAAGCATCTATAAAATGCATGTGCTCTTCTCTACATTGTTATTCCAAATTAATAGGACCCAGCCGAAGTCTATTGTCATAGAACTAACACCGCTTAATTTTATAGTAATGATACGGTGGGGTAGTAGCGGCAATATCAAATATTTTCTGTAAACCAACATTTCTCATGCTTTGAAATAATGCCCATTGCTCCATATAAAGATTCACGGGAAGATTCCACCAACAATCATAGAGACTGAAAAGAATTTTAAAAATATTTACATTCATATTTCGATTGTATACGTATACATTTGTTCATGTTGAAGTATTTCCTCAATTAACGTGGGGGCTTAAATTGTCGATAAATCCGACCTCCTATTGAAAAATGCAGATCAAATTCGGATTCCTAGCATCCTGAACAAATAACAGGAAGTCCGGTTGGAACAGCCAGACTGCTAGAGCTTGCAAAACGTTTTTTTTTTGCTGGCCTATGTTGTTATTACACCGCTCTTTTATTGAAATATTAATATCGTATTCAGTCCTTTGATTAGATATAAGTTTAGAGCAGCCTTAAGCTATTTCAGGTTTCTTTTATCAAAATCAAACTCTTTTGCAGTTTATGGAAGTTAGCAGGAAAATAGTTGTTGTGAATACATGAGGCGCGGCAATATAGAGTTAATAACCCAGTCTCTAATTACTTCAAGATACCAGATATCAATATCAGTTTACGGAGATTTGACTTGTTTATGTTGCTAACATTCTATTTTATGGATTATTATTAATTTAAACCACTTTTTTGGAATACCAAACTGTTTTTCCCATTCATGCTCTGATTAAAAAAATTGAGCCTATTTGTCCATAAACCTTCTCCGTTACTGAAGCATTTAATATCATGGTGAAATAAACTGCTTGCTTTCTTCTACATTTTCTTGTGAGCCTACCAAATTCATTCCGATAAAAGTCTTAACATAGCGGTTTTTGAAATGAATTGCAGCTTCCCAGAGAGTCGGCGACGCATGTCAATAAGTGGAGGAGAAATGTGTTTCGGAAGCGAAAGTTCGTCATGTACACAAAAAGTCTTTCTCAGCTTTTCGGTCGTTGGGCTGCTGATTGAGTTACGCCTAGGCTGGATACTGCTCTTGAGCTCTCAAAATATAAAACGAAAATCTGACCACGCTAAAAACTTTCGGTGTACAAACTTCGTTGTTCCCATTTTTCAAGTCTCGTTAGCACTAAAATCAGCCTAAAGGGCAAACAAATAACTAGAGTTTTGCGAAAACTTTTGCAATAAGTTCGAAGAAAAAGTTGAGAATTCTTTTTCCGAGGTTTTGCCGACATTTTAGCTTAGTTTTTCATATTTCAGTGCTGCGAGGGAAGCTCCAGCGGGAAAGTCAAGATGTTGCTGTTGCCCCCCGACCGCTTCAAGAGTTGCTCTCAAATTTCACTATTTCAGGCGCTTCTAACGATTACACCCGAAGTAACGATCCGGTCAGTGGAAGCTTCGGGTTTTACTTGCAATAAAATTGTACAATAACATAGAGAGAGAGAGAGAGAAAAGAAAATGAAGGCAACTGATGTTAATGTTAGTATGCAATGTTGAGTGGAATCACAACAAACGCTCGAATACTTTTACGATTTTTTTGCGTACTGATATGTATGTTAGTTCCTTGATTTAAATTATATTGTAACACGGAATTGTCAGGACAATACCGTGCAAATTAGATTTCTGAGCCTCGAAATAGTAGTTATCAAGTCATTATTTACCCTATCATCAATATTGTTGGACGAGTAGTGTAAGATGTTTATGGAATTAAATGAAAAAGTAAACAAATTTTTATAGAAATTCAAAAAATATAACTCAGTACTCACTAGAGTGAGTGACAGAGAGCGCATTTTTTCTCGTCGACGAAAACGTGTAGTCATGAACAGACGGACAGACATGCGGACAGACAATCGGACATGACGAACACAATGGCGCCTTTTTTCCATATATGAGGAAATGTGCTAAAAATACCTATAATTAAGAGTATTCATCGTGAATTTGGAGTCCCTACATTCTTCGTCTTAAGATTTACATTTGCTCATATCATACTAGCACCTAATCTCTAATCATTACCATATAAATTCGCATTAATAGGACTGCTATTATTGTTAGGGCAGATGAAACAGTACAGATTAATTAATATCCTATATTCTGCACACTTCATTCTAGTTTACATATTTAACTTCATATCAAATCGTCTTAGGGATCGTGATGCAATAATTGGGTATTATTATAGAATGTATACCTGTGCAAATATAAATACGTTTAGTTAAAGTATGGATCACTGTAATATCTCATTTAGTGTTTTAAGTCCCCTCTACAGTGACCTTGTGCTAGTATTTGGTCTGATAATTTTGTGAAAATTATATGTCGATTCAATGGTGGTTTTGTTAAGCGATTTTAAATATTACTTATATTGATGCATAATTTATTTGCTATATGCTTTGCGTACTATCCTGTTAGTTAGATTAATACATGTTTGTAATTTGTTCTTACATGCAGTTTTTCAGAATGGCTCCGAATTTTGAATCCGATCCTGAGACTTGTTCACGGCTTAATAGACAAAAGCTAGGAAGACAAAGGGCTATATTTTATATTCACGAATTTATTTTATTGGTTAATCTACTGATTCAATTGTTATTGGTTAAATGTCCAGGGTCACTAAGAGCTTTTTTTCTTATTTATAAAATTAACCCAACATTACCAGTCATGCACCATTTATTCACAAACTTTCTTAATGCCAACACAAGCAAAAATTAGATCAGAAGGAAAATAAGGATAATAAGAAGGCAGGCTCATATTTTTGCTTGTATTACAGCGCGTGTCGTGGATCAGACGTCGGGACCTGGAGCTGCTGGCTGTAGGAGAAAGCATGTACAGCAACGACCCTCGCTTCTTTGTGTCGCATTCCCGGCATTCTCATTACCAGGGCGCCCGTCATTCCCAGGTCAGTGCTTTTCATCTTCTCACTCATCCCTAAAGATACTTTCTGATTCCAAAAGATATCTCGGGTTTCTTTTATCTGAGCTTTGTTTACTTATATTCGTTTCGTGATTTGCATCGACCGAATTTGTTGCGAGGAAAAGGATAAAGTTCAAATAATTAAACGGGTTTCCCAGAAGGTGTGGGTGTTTTTATGGAGCCAACCACTGCAAAAGAAAAGGGATATTAAAGCTCCTTTTCAAGATGTATTTCGTGCCGGCACATTACCTGGCTCTGAAATTTTATCTATTTATATAAATATATATATCGGTATATAAGGCATAAAAAAGTGGATTGGATTGAAAAATTAATTTGTAATTCGATTTTCTGGTGTAAAATCAATTTCATTTAGAATTATGGTAACAAAAATTTTCGAATTTTAATATGGTCGGTTAAATGGAAATATTTTGTTCGGCAGAGGTTTGAATGAGCTGATCGCTCTTTATCTCAATTGAATACAGTATAGAATATACTGTATTCAATTACAATATATTGAATATACAGAATACAGAATATCAATGATATACATAATGCAGAATACAGAATAACAGAAAATACAGAATAACCTCAATGGCTGGAAAGCCGATTCACATGGATTCCATATCCTGAGCATCAAAACCGAAAATTTCCCGGAAAATGAATGTATAATAAATAGAACTAATTAAAATTTCACTTAAAAAAATAAATTATATCTAATAATTTCTATTTGTTCAAATTAGCGATGCTCTGTTATTCTCCCTAAACATGGCCGGCATAGCGTTCTTGGTAGGGATAAATCTTTATTTTTTTAATTTATCTTATATTTAATTATGTCCTGATTCGTCAGAAGATGATGATTGGTTCGAACTTTTAACTGCAGTGATAAATTTCAATACTGGTGCGATTAGGTAAGAAAAATCATTACCATGATTCCAATGTTTGGAGACGAATCGATATTATTTGTTAATTAGGGGAGAATTAGTTATAGAATTACCCTGAAAACTTTATTTCAGTGCTGCCTAACTAATGATTATTAGGGAAAGCTAATTATTATGAGTGCAAAAACGCAACTGTGCATGTCTTATTCTAAATTCAGAATTATTATTTATTCGATACACGTATTAACTTACTTTAATACGTGTATTACTTTTTTTTAAATGTACACGTATTTACACGCTTCCCAGGGATTCTAATTAATGAGATTATGCAGACATATCCAAAAGAATGTAGAAATTGAATGAGTTTTGTTATTGGGAAACTAAAATTAAAACATTTGATATGCAATTAGGCTCATTTTAATTCAAGATTCATTTATATCTGGGGCGATCGCATCAAAAATTCTCGGCGAGAGTTGAGAATGATTTCATTTGAATTTTTCCAATACTTGTGAAACCGTTGCTTAATTAATATGTGTTTAAATAAAATAGAAATGACATCTATTCATGCCTTGCAAAATATAGATTAAATTATTTACTGGTAAGTTACGGTGATAGCAAGTTAAATTTTTATTTTAAAAACGGTGCAGGACTCAGTCAACGTATAACTGTACTCAGGCGCTCGATTTATCTTGTAAATGGGAAATAATCTAATATTTTGGCTACCGGGTAACTTTGTTCAAAATGAGCAGTCCAGGTTTTGGATTAATATTGTAGTAGTTATTAATAATTGTATACAATTTTTTTAGAATGTAGTCGTGTTTGATTTAAGGGGAGCATTTGATTAATCTAGATTAAAAGCCTTCAATTACATAGCGAACGTGTTAGAATAGACTTCAGTGGGGAGAAGTAGAGAGCCTTGTGATGGATTCTTATCGTATGATGCAGCATCGTATCCTTATGTCGTATCATGCAGTATCATATCCTTATGACGTGCCATGTAGTATCGTATCCATATGTCGCATCATGCAGCATCGTATCCGTTTGTCATACCGTGCAGCATCGTATCCTTATGTCGTATCATGCAGCGTATCCTTATGTCGTATCATGCCTCGTATCATTATATCGTGCCACGAGATACGTACAACATATCCCAAGTTTTCAAGTGTACTAGTATACTGCTCGCTGTCGTACTATTAAACGCGTTGTCAAGGATGTTGCCTCCCGAAGGACCTCTGATTTAAAGAAATAATGCAGGTAATTATGAGGATTCATTCATCGCAAACTGCACATTTTCAATTATTTTCAATTTCTTCGTGATTTGTAAATAAGTCAAAACAAAATTAGGTGTGATAATTTTTTTTGGTACAATTGAAAAAAAATTAACATACCAACATCTAACGAACAAACTTAATATGCCTTAATTTTTTTCTTGTCATACTTCGAATTCGAATTTCAACAGGTGTCAGGAAACAAAATTTCCTGTCTTTTCAAGCATTAAAAATTCAGTTTTAAGGATTACCTTCAACCAAATAATATCGCTGGATTATAAGAAATATCAGTCAGCTTAAATAAAATTATTAAATAAGAAGTTTGGTCAGATTAAATAAAAATTATAATTTATTTAATTTATTTCTCGATTTATAAAATTTTTCTCGACTTTCTCTTTATGCATACTGCACTTTAATAATAATTATGTGACTATACAGAATTATTCCATAAACTGTCAACAAGAAGCGCTTGATGCGGAGAAAGATAAGACAAGTTTGCTGCACAAAGACGGGCACAAAAAGTGACGATGAACGAAGTCTTCCCGGGAAGTTGTGAATTAATGAGGCAACTTTACTGACGTCGAGTCTGTCTTTTTGCCGGACAAAATACTGCACTTGCGTCTCTGTTTCTCGCCGCCATCAGCTGACAAACTTTCATCTATTGCAAAGTACAGCAGGTATTATACGCCGCGGCAACATCATAGAAGAACATCATTTAATGCCGAAATATTAAAAATAATATATTAAAAGCGTTATATTGCAAATTACAAAAAGAATATCTCTTCTAAGAATTTTTTGTCGCGTCCAAATTCTCTTTTATTCGCGCTTCTGTTTTGATAATTAAAATATTTTTCCCAAGACGAGAGTTGGTAAGATTTTCCTAATTATATAGCTCGTTTGAAAATCTCGCTTAAATAAATGAACTTTTTCAATAGGAATATTCAAGTATTTAATATTATCAATTTTTAATTCAGCCTCACTATGAATCTGGGGCCATACTCTCAAAATTCGCTAAGTGAACGTAAGTACTTACGCTCTATTATCTTGTCTATGATTGGTGGATTTTGCTTGAAAGGACGTCAATGATTGGCTAATGAATTTACGATCTCTTAACTTTTTTGAAAGTATGGCCCTTGTCCTGCAAGTAATACTTGCCAACTATTATGGTTAAGGGTTCCACATATAATAAAACTGGGTATTTGTCTTGCGTTAGGCATCTCTGACGACATAGAAAGTGCGGCTGAGAGCAACATGAGACTTTCACTTTTTGCCGCAACTAATATATTGTTTTCTAGGTCTACTCAGCCCGGTTGTCAAAGTTTTCTTTGTAAATAACGCGTTTAGCAAGACCACCCAACATACGACCAAAGCTTCCTCAAAACCTGCCTGAAGTGGCCGAGCGACCCAGTCATATATCCAGTCTCCCATATGGCGGTAGATTTTACGACTTGTGTTTGGTCCGTAGTGCGCTTTTAGTAGCGGTATTTGCGCTACGTTTATGGGAGAAATTTGTTGCATGAGTTAGTGGAACCGCAGAAAATAATTATTGTGCGCTCTCCATACAACTTCGCAGTTATTATGATAGAGAACTGAGGTGAAGAGAAGCTTACTTGTGCCGTCAAGAGGCAACGGATAAAATCAGAGACAATTTCTATCTTGGCTTTACTATTATTGACAGTGAATATAATTTCCAAGTCACTATAATTGACAAGAACTTTTCGCCAGCTACTTGAAAGAATTGCTTTATGCTGTAGCAAACACTCGATGAATTCTTTTGGGTATTATCTTTATTTTTGTTTATGGTAAACTTTAATGCTACATAGAACTTGACAACAAGGAAAATTGCACAAAAAATTTAAATTCTTGTATAAAAAAAGTTAGGCAGTCCAGGTCCATCGTCTGCTAAAAATTGTCAAAAAGAAACAATCGTCTGTTCAAAAAAATAAACTACCATAATAAAAATTCACAGAAGATATCAAAAAATAAGACGGCGAATAAAAGACATGACAATAGGATATCTTAATGATCAGACAAATGATGTATCCACAATTTCAAGTTGGTGAGAATTATAAGCGACATTCAAAGTAGGCTTGTGTTTATAAATGTACAATGACAATAAAATTCGAAAATGAGGAACATTGTAAGTGAAAGATAATATTTCAAAGTTGTTATCAGATACAGGGACGTTACACTGCTATAGACGAGCGCGTACAGCCGAATGAAGAAGAAGCGTTTGTAATTGAATTTCCGGTTCCATAGATCTCCTCTATAAGCTCCATCATTCCATTATTGCAGTTGCAAGACAACATACAGACGCATGCAGGCAAATTCCTTCCAAATGCTTTAAAAACGTGAGACTATTGCTTATCTACAGAGAGAATATCTATATAATAACTAAAAATTACAATTATACTCAAACAAAACAGGAAGTTTCGGACGGTATAATACATGTATGTATGAACAAAAAATCCATTCTTTGCACGCAGTATCAGATGTAGGTCATAACATGGTAGAGAACAATAAATCAACGAATTTTTATTATCGTTCTCGGGTATAGTTTCATTGTATTGTTTAGATATTAATTTCATAATTTATGCAAAAAAAATCAGGTGTGACGGGAACACATTTAAAAAGAAGCAATTGCTCCTGAATTCAACAAATTAAGTTTGAAAATACTTAGTTTGGAAAGCAAAGTAAATTCGAACATCGCGGTGCATTGGTAAGTTATTCTCATTGAACTTGAAGCAAAGTGTAAGAAGCTGAAGACTAAATAGGCTGATACAAAAATCAGAAAAACGTCTCTTTTCACAGAATATAAGTATGGAAATGGCAATTAGATT